ATTTCACTATAAAACCCATAAATTGACATATTTGGAGAGCACTGGCGAAAAAACGAGAATGGTGACCCCATCTTTTTATTGCAGTTTTTAAATGTCCATAACATAATTAATGTCTATGCAAAGTTTCAGGACAAAGTTATTGGCAAAATTTCTTTCAAGGGAATTACCTTAAGGCCATACATAAATATCGTGTGTGTATAAGAAAGGGTTGGGGAAAATCATTAGCACCACAAAAAATATCAATAAAAGGTTGAAACTGTACGTGCTGACGTTTCTGGCAATCGTTGGAGTAAAAAAAAGATTGCGTTAACCTTATTTTCTGTAAATAATATGTTCTATATAAATAAAACTTGATATACAAATAGCGTATAGTTAGAACTGTTTACGAATCATTCGAAGTACTCTTTAGAGTTGGAATATCCTTATGATGGCAAAACCCCTAAATTATTTAAAGAAAAAAAGAAATAAAAATATAGTGAACACAATCACAGGGAGACCAATTTAGATTAAAGTGAACGGAGAAAATAAAAGCGGAAAAATTAAAAAAGTTAATTGCTTTTTCAGAAATTCGAGATCAAGATAATGTCCTCCGTAATGCGAAAGAGGAAAAAAAAAACATTAAAAATGCAAACCAAAAAGAAATGTCTGGTGGTGGGTCGGGTCGTGGCTGGTGGTGGGTCGTGGGTCGTGTACACGTTACAAAAATTCTTTGCGGGAGAGTAGCAAGGTCGAAATTCGCTCTCGCCCGAGTCCTACGCATGTAAGAACCTTGACATAACATGGCAAAACAATTTCTGCGAGCGAAAATTTCACTCATAGAAATCTTGGAGGAAGAGACAAAAGAGTTTTATATAAATGAGTCCCCCATATCAGGGATCATTTTGATCAAGTTTTTTGTGGAGCTCGAGGATTAAAAGACGATCAAATCGTGGTTTAAAGTGTGTTGTTTTTTCAAATATGGCGACTGTAGTTTCTTCCCTTGTCAGAATATATAAACAAGATCAACATCAGATACCATACGGAAATTAAATAGGAAAATAAAGCCTCGCGCGAAAAAAATGTTATAGTGCATTTTCTAATGTGTTTTTTCTTCTCTTTCGCATTACGGAGGACGTTATCTTGATCTCGAATTTCTGAAAAAGCAATTTACTTTTTTAATTTTTCCGCTTTTATTTTCACCATTCAATTTCATCTAAATTGGGCTCCCTGTGAAAACAATCAACTACCTTTTTTAGTCAATCGCTCAAAAGAGTAAAGAAACAAAATGTATAAGGCTCTCGCGAAAATCTCGTGACTCTAAAACCCTTCAACCGTGTAGCTCAACATTTCTCTAATTTCCTTCTTTCTTTGCTTTCCTTCAGCTTTAATATTTGTAACACATTCACTTACCAGTTTTACTGTGATGGGAATAAAGAGTTAATAACCTTTGATCGCAGTTTTCAGCAACTTTTCGTCAGAAGGTAAAAATCAACAGATCGTGTTCTATTTCTTGTTGTTTTCAAGCATCACACCGCTGGCTTTCCTGACCGACGTAATAAACCACAGGCATCCCTCTTTAGAGCCTTGTTTACGTCGAACGATGTTCCTACCTGCCTGGCTGGGTACAGCTTACTATCGGTTCCACCCCCAGGGGAACTCAGTGCAATTAATTATATCGTTTGACATAAACAGGGTCTACAAATTTGAGTTTTTGTTGTTGTTGTTGTTTTTTTTTTTTTGTCATAAACAGGGTACCCCTTTCAGAATCCCAGCGGATGACCCCTATCCAAATCCTGGCGGAGTACCCCCCCCCCCCGGAGTTCCACCACTTCACACCGTTCCTTTAAATATTTGGATACGCGGATACACAGTGAAGAACATCACTCCTCACCCTTTAGTTATAAAGACCACGTATCCATTTCAACATATCACTCGTTCTTTAAAAGTTAACATTCCGCATATGTCTTCAGAGGGAGGGGTGGTATTCTTCACTGTGCATCCATGCATCCAATCAAACATAAATTGGAACGCTCATAAAGTGCGGGGTATTCGATAGTTACTCCGCCTACCTGCCTGGCTAATATTTCTACCTGCCTGGCTGATATTCCTACCTACCTTAGCATGCTGATGTTCCTGCCAGATGTCAGATGTCAGATGTCATACAACAGAATATTAAATAGTACTACTAATGGAGGGTTCATAATTTATGCACAGGGGGTGTCTGATGATTTTGTGCGGTGCCATGATTTTTTAGTGGTCGGGTTGTTGTGATGGAATGGGGATATGGCAAATTCCCTCAAAAGTAGATCAAGGTACAAGAGAGCCATTTTGTTTTAAGGACCAACCACTCATAAAACCAGGGTTGGTATTGTACCATGGTTTGCTTCTTATTGGGGGAGGGGGGAGCTTTCCAAAAAAATGGGGGCTACCAAAAAATGTAAGGGAAAACATTATGGTAGCCCCTATGTACATAAATTAAGCATCCTTCCTAATACTAAGGCAATCTGCATCGAATTAGCTCACAAGGCACTCTGGGAAACCGAATACTGCAGAAATATAGCAGTGAAATTATAGGGACTATCCGAAGAAAACAAACTTTGTTATTTTTATCTTGTCAAATACTTACATTGTCATAATACGATGAAAGTTAAAAAATTGTCAGATAAAGTCTTAGAGGTGCCGAAAAAAGCCTAAGTAATTAGTTTCCCATCATGCTTTGTGCTAAGGATTCATGCCCGTGCACGTACATTGGCTATTGTTGGATGTTTTCTAGTCAGGCAATAAAGGCCCTGTTACAAATGAAACTTTCAGCTGAAACTTGCGTGCAATGACGTTGCGAGATAAGTCTCAAGTGAAGTTTCAAGTGAGTGTTACACGGCGTAATTTTCTCCTGAAACTTCTTCGCGGAACAAGTTTCAGTTGCACGAGTAGAAAGCAGTTCTACTTTTCGTGCAACTTTATCGCGACGAAAGTTTCACCAAGGTTAAATTGCACCGTGTAACATCCCCTTGAAATATGTCTCACAACATCGTTGCACACAATTTTAGGCTAAAAGTTCAATGTGTAACAGGGCCTTAATGCTCCTACAAAATATTCCTGGATCCACACCAGAATAAGGATAAATCTTCACATATAAGTGCAAGACGAATTTGTCTTGTACTCAAATAAAAGTTACTAGGCATCACAAGAAAAACTGATTGATACAAGCTTCAAATACAAGAGCTGAATGTAAAGAAAACTACAATAGTCCCTTTGCAGCTCAGTAATCACGTGCTGAGAGCAAATGAATGAACATCTTGATTCCCATGGGTGAAATATACTGCTGAGCAAACAAACTTTCTACATACTGTTTTCGAGAGATCGTAATAAAACTGCATTTCGTAACACACTGGTTACGCATCGTTTCATTCAGTTCTTTACAAGTAGCTAAAAAGAATAAACAATTTAAGATAAAATAAAATAATTTGCTCACCAATACAGACACGATAAAGTTAACTGCAAAAGGCCTATTAGAAAACTATACAATAAAAATCAGATCACAAACTGTAGCTGTATGTACAATGATTATAAAACATGTTCTGATAACACTCTAGCTAGTCTGAGACATTCATTCTGACTCCATTCAATGTGTCTAAATTAACCTTCAATCAATCTCATCTGAAGAAGTTTGATTGATGGGATGATTGATAGAATTATCTGGATGATGTAAGACTGTCTATAGAAATGACTTCCCATTACGAGAAAAATACCATGTTTCTCTCTGAATAGCTGAAATACTGAAAATTGAATGAGCATTTTTCTTCGTTCTCTTGTTGTTGTCTTTGTTTTTGTTTTTTTTGTTTGTTTTTTTTTGTTTGTTTGTTTTTGTTTTGTTTTTTTCTGTTTCTGTCTTGTTTATCCTACTGATTGATACCCCTCCCCTCCCCTACTAAATCAATTATCAATGGTCCATTAATACCAGTGTATGTTGTACAGTGCTGTGTCTTGTTTATCCTACTGATTGATACCCCTCCCCTCCCCTACTAAATCAATTATCAATGGTCCTTTAATATCAGCGTATAGCCTTGTTTATCCTACTGATTGATACCCCTCCCCTCCCCTACTAAATCAATTATATATCAATGATGGTCCTTTAATACCAGTGTATGTTGTACAGCGTATAGTCTTGTTTATCCTACTGATTGATACCCCTCCCCTCCCCTACTAAATCAATTATCAATGGTACTTTAACACCATTGTATGTTGTACAGTGTTGTTTCTTGTTTATCCTACTGATTGATACCCCTCCCCTCCCCTACTAAATCAATTATCAATGGTCCTTTACAATACCAGTGTTCATACATGGTTGATAACAATCTTGTGTCTCTTGCGTCTCCGTGACGTTGGTACCTTTACACACAGTACATGACAGTCATCAGCTAGTGAGAAGAAAACAAACCAACTACGATTACTTTTAGTAGAATGGTTTCTCATGCTGTGCTGGGTTTCGTTTGATATTATATTTAGTGTGAGTTTTAGGTATAAATTTTTAGTTGAATATTAATAAAAGGAAATAAAATCCTTAATGTTATACACAGGAGACAGGACTCCTATCAAAGGGGGGAAGGGTGGGGGAGGTGCTCGTCACAACTATTAGAGTTCCAGATCAGTGGTACCTCCTAGGGTGTCACAAATCYAAAAGGCCCCCATAGAGTAAGCCAGTAGGGTATTTTTCAGGTAATAGGATACCCGAGATTAGATAATAACAGCCGGAAATAAAGTTTTAATTTTTAGGATTTTTATTTTCAGTTCATCATCTGACTTTGGTCACTTAGCAATCGTACATAGTTGGTAGTCCTTTTAGGAGTAAAAATTATTAGTTGCCACGCCCACCTTCAAAGACTGTACTTCTTAGCTGTTGTTTCTAACTAAGTATCCCACCCTTTTGTATATAGGAGTCTCCTCCCCTCCCCTCCCCAACACCAACGATGTTTTATACTTTCTTAGAATTTGACTTTTTTTTTATCACGCAAAATGGCGTGAGTTCTGTCAACAATCTTATAGTAACGCAAACAGTGGTACCGAGCCTTGTTCACTTGCAGCACAAGAATAACGGTTGGCAGTGTCGTAGCGAGAGTTTTACAGCTGGGAGTGGTTGTATTTTTGGACATTTTTTACCACTGACAATTGATTACAATTCAGATCCGCTTGTTTAAATACAGAAAGTGTTAATCAAACAATATTTGGGGAGGGGGGGGGGGACCCAAATTAAGAATATGGCTGATATACAAACACTTCTATAAATTTATAAATTAATTAAAACATCTTACCTGTTTATCGCGTACTTGACTTCATCTATTGTTTGATTCCATCCATGATCGGTCACAACTTTGTACACTTCCATCACAAGATGAAAGAAATATTTCAGAAACACAAAGTCATCCAGTAACATCTTTCGTGTGCCTTCAGAGACATGTGCGTAAGCATTGCGTATAAACCGCACTAACTCTACTACAGAGTGATTATCGTAATACTTTCTCTTGCTGGATGTCATTTCAGCGTAGATATGAGGCATGTCCTTATACCTGGGGTCATTCCACACTCCATGCACGACTATGGTACTAAAGCTCTTCTCCAAGTCGGCCTCCACAGCAGTTAGAGTTTTTCTTGTTGCACGTTGGTAACCAAACACTGACTGGTTTCCAACAGCAACAAGAACATCAACTTTTTTCTTATYTGACCAGAACATTGGATGATCCAGGCTTTCTGCCGCAACTGGTCGTTTGTCTTTATCACTACCAAGCATGTTCTTGACTAGGTGAGTGGCTTCTGGAGAAAGACAGTCATCCCATCCTTCTATACTCCCATTTGTCATGTTGGTTTCTATTTGATGAGGCTTTTGACTATTGTTCTTAGAATATGGGTGTTTTTGTACGGACAGAATGTAATGAAGAACAAGTCCACATGAAAACATATCGGATGCCTTGGAATGATTGGGAGTATCCATCAACACTTCTGGGGCCATCCAACACCTCGTTCCTGCATTAGTACCATACACTGTGGTTGCGCTACTATCAATGCGACGGCTGAGACCAAAGTCTGCAATTTTCAAACGAAGATGAGGATGTGTCTTGTAGAGAATGTTCCCTGGCTTCAGGTCGCGATGAATAATATTCTGCTCATGAAGAAACTTTAAACCCTTGACTACATCTTGACAAAGCTGAGTACTTTTTGTGGCGTCAAATGTGGAACTATCAGTAAGGTACTCGTCAAGATTTCCTTCCATCAATTCTAAAATAATGTATGAAAACTTTTCCTCTTCAAAGAAATGCAAATAACGAACAATTTGTTCGCAGTCTGCAAGATCTGCGACGTTTGTAATCTCTCGTTTGTCTTCTGGTCGCTGCATACGTAATTTCTCAATGCGCTTGACGGCCACTTCTCTGCCATCCTTTTCATTGATTCCAATGAATACATGGCCAAATGATCCACTTCCTACGTGCTCTTTATGATACCAAATTTCCTCATGTATCACATCACACTCTTGTCGCCTAGCAACTTTGGCCAATTTGACTTCATATTTCTTAGAAGTAGAAGTCCATGGAATGGGTATCGACACTGTGCATATATCTAAGGGTTCGGTGAGGAGTTCTTTAAGTGCAACAGATGAGTCTGCCATGTCCAAGCAAGAATTGCCATCAGCTCCATACAAACGAAGGATCTTCAAGATTTCACAATGGACAGACGCTGATGTGTCCATTCTTCTTTCCTTTTATGTAGGCTGCCAATCATCATCATCATCGTCATCATCATCATCATCATCGTCATCATCGTCATCTTCATCATCAGCTTTTATTATGTTTGTACAGCAACGACGAAGTGGTTCAGACAAAGTGGTTTGGCCTTTTCTTGACTGCAATATATCTTGGACAAGAATGCTTTTCCAATGTGTTCGTGTTGATTCGTCTTTACAGATGACATTCAAAAGACCAACAGCAAATGTTTCCGACTGAGTGTAGTTCCGCTTACAAGCCACGTCAACCAAAGCCTTGGCAAGAACAAACTCATCGAGTTCAATGAGAATACTCAAAACTGACTCACCCTCTTTGTCGGCTGTCCATGGATCAAGTCCCTTGTCAATGGCAGTTTCCCAAAAGGATTTTGGTTCTTCTAACTCTAAAACATCTGGATAAAGAACACCCTGATAAGCAAATAAAAGTCGCTTTTTCTTGGTTCGTGCTGCAGCAACTAGAGGTGATGCTTCTGATGAATCGGCTTCGTTAGCCTTTGCTCCAGCACCAAGTAACAGCTTCACAGCTATCCAGGTCTTGCACAAATGTAACGGGGTTTGATCGGCACCATTTCTGACGTTCAGTTTTACTCCACATCTTACAAGGTAGTTGAATAATGTTTGTAAGAATTTCTCAAATGTAAGATCTTTAGTAACATTACTGGTATAGTCTTGAGGTGATGGTAATGCTAGTGATGCCCAAAGGTGCAGTGGTGAGTTGAGATCAACATCACGTATGTTAATAATCTGTGTTTTTGCTACTTTTGCAGGTGAAAATAATTGCAAAAGTTTTATTGCTTCATGCAAGACATCTTGTCTTACTGTCTTATCCCTTAAGTGAAGTCCTTGCTGGAAAAGCTCTAGTATTAGATGAAAAACAGTTTTTCCACTTCGAGACCTTTCTTCAATGCTGGACCCGTGTTTTGACAAAACTTTACAGACTTCAACCACTGCTTGAATCGCAGAAGATGTAATTTGATTATCTCTTAATCCGGTAAGTTTGTTTTGAGACAAACAAAACAGAAGAGGTGTTTGATTCTCATGATTTCTCGAGCTAAATTGTACACCAAAATTCTCCAGCTGAAGACAAATCTCCATCACGATATCTTGAGGCACACCAATCAACGGTAAACAAGTCACATAGTGAAGGGCTGTATTACCATATGAATCAACACTATTAGGATCGGCACCTAACTCAACCAATAATTGTAAAGCTTCTGATATCCCTTCTCCATTYGTACATTTTTCATTTAAAAGCCCGATCAATATTTCCAGTTTCTTTTCGTTATCGATTAACTGACTAGCTTGTTTCAGGGCTTTAGTAATATCAATTTGACCACAACATCCAAACGGCATCAGAAGCTGAACTCTCTTCTGCTTTAACATTGACGGTTCTACGAACATCAAAGGTAACTTACAGAAAACCATGTTTAAAATTGGTTCAGCAAATGTTTTTTTCTGTACTCCATATTCTTCAAGCAATTCCAGAAAGCCAGAGGGAATGTTTTCAGAAAGAATGTCTTTAATATCACCATTGAATAAATGTTTTTCAACGAAAAAGTCCAAAATGTTACAATTACAGTTATCCTTCAAATAAAGGAGTTGTTTTTGTCCCTTTTCAATAAGAATACGAGCTGACTTTGGACAGTCGAGAGCGTAAAACAATGGCTTTCTCCCATAAACATCCTGCATATTATCAAACAATGCACGAACACTCTCGTTATGAATGTTCCGGAGAGCATACAACAAAGCACTTTCGCCATTATCATCAGTTATGCTGAGATCAACACCAGCATCAATCAATGCACGAATTACACTCTCGTTGTTACTTTGTTAGACAGCATAAAACAAAGCAGTTTTGCCATCATCATCAGTTTTGTTTACATCAGCATTAGCATCAATCAATGCACGAACCACACTCTCGTTGTTACTTTGTTGGACAGCATAAAACAAAGCGGTTTTCCTGTCACAATAAGCAGTTATGTTGACACCAGCACCAGCATCAATCAATGCACGAACCACACTCTCGTTGTTACTTTGTTGGACAGCATAAAACAAAGCAGTTTTGCCATCATCATCAGTTTTGTTTACATCAGCATTAGCATCAATCAATGCACGAACCACACTCTCGTTGTTACTTTGTTGGACAGCATAAAACAAAGCGGTTTTCCTGTCACAATAAGCAGTTATGTTGACACCAGCACCAGCATCAATCAATGCACGAACCACACTCTCGTTGTTACTTTGTTGGACAGCATAAAACAAAGCAGTTTTGCCATCATTATCAGTTATGTTGACATCAGCACTAGCGGCAATCAATGCACGAACCACACCCTCGTTGTTAATTTGTTGCACAGCATCAAACAAAGCAGTTCGGCCATAATGGTCAGCTATGTTGATATCAGCACCAGCATCAGTCAATGCTCTAATCTTGTTCTCGTCTCTTTCTATGGTGGCACGATACAACAGATCAGAAAGTTCAGTTCTGTTATCAGTAGTCATCCTCTTAACTCAGAAGGCTTCATGACCAACTGTAGAATACTGTGAAAGAATATTTTCTATTTCAGTTTAATTAAAAACAATTCGGCCTGTGCAATCGATAAATGTGTATTAATCGATAGCAATCGATAATTATTTAAAAAGTTGTGAGTATAGTCAATGATTATCGATTTTTGAAATATCGTTTTTTTATTGTTATCGATTTTATATCTTTTAAAACTGGCCCTCTGTCTTGAAAATGGACCTCGGCTTAACGGCCTTGGTGCGTACATTCAAGACCTTAGGCATAGTTTTTCCCTTCCTGGCTGGTAAATAAGACACACACGCACACGAACACGCCCACGCACACACACGCACACACATAGCGATTCGTAAAAGTTCTGCAAAAGTCAAGTATATCTGTATATCAATATATAAAATAATTTGTATATTTCCAGATTCTTTAAATATAACGATTTTCAAGTCTGAGGATTGCTAAAAAAAGAAACTTAAGGTGGCTCGACCGGGTTTTGTTTGTGGCGTACCTTCGAAGTTTGAAGGGGAAATGCGTCTCTGCCAATAAGTTAATTTCAAATAAATTATTATGACATGTCTAGAGATAGATTCAAGTTTTATATGATATACAATTTATCATGATCGGAGTTACCATAGCAATACRRTGACGTCATGTCATTTTTTWATACATTCCATTTTTGGCGAAATCAGACGTTTGTTTTAAAAATTGTTTAACAGATCTTAAAGTTCATATGTTTGTCTTCAAGTTAACGAAGTTTCGAAGATTTGTATGGAAGCGTTTCGAAATAATTGCCGTCGGAACTTTTGGGCAACAAAAATGTAAACAATCCAAAGCAATTAGTTCATGTGACCGAAACCTTTCCTTTCTGGACTTGGGAAAAGCTTCTTTTGGGGGCCATAGTGTTGTTTTACTATTCCACTAGTCCTTCTGAGAAATGGAAAGAAATCGCGTTATTCGATTTCGAGAAATGTGATTTCAAGCCTAGTTAGTAAAGTTGTGCCTTTTGATATATTTTCAAAGATTTCACTTGTCTTTACTAAAAACGGTCAAACTCAATAATCCGACGATGAATTTCTTTTTAACTTTCAAGTCAGTTACTTTAGATAACGCATTTATATACCCTAAAGTTTCAAGTTCATAGAAATAATTCAAAACCGTCAAATAATATTCTAAATTCCGTAAACATTTGTATCCTAATTCTAAATATGCGACGGCTTTCTTCACCCGCACTTTGTTTATATCGTTACGCCTTTCTATTGTCCAGAATAGTTCCAAAGTCGTGCATTCCATTACCTCACGCTTTACATTCAATTCCTGATTGCTTTCCGAAACTCTTCCGACTATGATGATTTGTGATTGCAATTTCATATATACTTGATACTATACCACTTTAAAGACCATAAAATAGTTTACTAAATAAAGTTTAACGAGAGTACTAGATAGTCGTGTGACAAGTGTTTTTCTTTGTTATTTGCTAGCTCATAGAAATGCAGGTAAACAATCGGATAGATAAACAACTAAATGAATCGCACGAGTCGCATGAATCGAATGAATGAGTAGCACTGCAAGTACTCATGAGACAATCAGAGCAGCACAGAAAAGCACAGTAGTAGCACATTTTTGTTACTCATGAGTACTCAGTTCATGAATTTTCCAGCACGTGAACGAATGGATAGATAAATAACTAAATGAGTAGATGAGTCGCATGAATGATTAGCACTGAGACTGCTCCTGAACCAGTACATCCTTCCCTTTGTACATTTAAGTTACTTATTGCATTCCTTCTGCTCATTTAGTACTTGTCTGTGAGAGAATTAACATGTCTAGTTTTAAGTGTCAACATTGTGATAAACTATTTTCAAGATCATTCAATTCGAGGCGGTTCATGTAAAATGAATCAACATGGACTATGACAGCAGTAGTACCGAGGAGGAGGAGCTTAGTGACGTTGACAGTTCTCAAAGTGTTTCATTCTACACTACACTGAGACTCGATTTTCACAACCATAAAGTTCCAATTACTTTGTGTTGTTTGTGTTATTTTACATCGCCAACAAAATCAAAACGTTCCTCATAAACTGTTCTTGCAAGCAGGCCATTGTAATATAAGCGATCAAATGTTACAAAGTGAATGACATCTTTTCGCGCGCTTTTCTCCGCTGTGACGTCATGTCTCTTCCCTATCAATTCTCCATATTTGAATATCTTGGGTTTTGACAGCCCTGCGTTAACCCATGTAACACATGTTTTCGTGTGGCGTCTGTATTTGGCATATCAAAGTTCAAAGTTTTCCCGCCTTCAAAGAAAGTTTACGAGGCTATGTTTTCAATAAACAAAGAAGGAAGAAATTATCAAAATGGTGTTCCACTTTCTGAAGATATTAGAAATTGAGTTCAGCTATTTACAGGGCCGTATCAAGGAAGTAATTACAACCGAGGCGAAAGACCCCGAGGGGGTAGCACGAGCGCCAAAGGCGGGAGAACGACCGCGGAATGTGGGAACTTAGTATGCAATATTTTATTCTGAAACACTGTGATTGAATTTATATTTTAGAACACACGGTCCGTCGTACGAAATCAGCCGTATGAAATCTTCTAATATTATCAGTCTGATGAAGAAGAAAAAAAGACAACATTTGGTAAAATTTTACCGAGGGGAGCGCCTCGGTTCGACTTATACTGGCTACGGCCCTGATTTACCGAGTCCGAGTGAAATATCCGAGTCAAATGTCTAAGTTTAAAGCTCCCCCAGAAAGCTTTATCATTTGATATGCTCTTTGGTAACTAAAGTTATTCAGAATGAATTCGAATATCCACGTCTTAAGGTAATTCCATTGAAAGAAATTTTGCAGATAACTTTGTCCTAAAACTTTGCATAGACATTAATTATGTTATGGACATTTAAAAACTGCAATAAAAAGATGGGGTCACCATTATCGTTTTTTCGCTAGTGCTCTCCAAATATGTCAACTTATGGGTTTTATCAGAAGTTCTGGTTTTATAGTGAAATGCGGTAGCAACCGCAAGCTGCAATCAAGAACCTTTAGCACCGTTAAAAGTACTTTCATATAAAAAAACGTACTTATAACTTTGAAGTTTACTAGATAATCTATACTATTAAATCCATCGAAGTTATTGGATAACTGTGATTCTTGAACTATTAGAGAAAAATGCAGGTATGTGCGCCTAAACGAACGTCCAAAACTTGCACATGTCAACTATTCCCATCAAAATATTTCAAAGTCTATCCTTCATATTTTGATATATCATGACGAGCATCGCATTTATCAAAGATCTGAAATAAAAAATAAAAAATAGGGGTCACCATTCCGGTTTTTATTTATCTTGAAAAAACATCTCAAAATAGTCCAAAACTGACACTATTCCGAGTGGAGACTGGGGCGAGTCAGATAAAAATCGCAATTTCTCTACACAAAAAAGAGAAAAAAGTGAAAATTGGTTTGGAACATGTTTCTTGTTTAGTTTCCTAAAGAAAAATGCCGAAACTTTGTTAGTTCCATGCTTTAAGATGCATGCGCAGAAAAATGCGCAGTGCAAAACAAGGGAATTACCTTAATCAGTGAGCATCTTGTTTGTTATATCTATCTTCGGTACGGACACCAAAAGACTTGCGTGCAGTCACACTATACACCATTTTATGCGAATTTTAGACGAGTCTTAGAATTTTTAGAGCTTCTCCAAGCTATAATTTGTTTATCATATATAAAGCGACAGTTTCAATGAAAATATTTTAAAAGTTTAATGAAAAACATTGCTTAAAAAATTGAGTTATTATCCCACGATTAACTATGGTTATTTATGTAGCAGTCTGAAGTTTGAAGCCGACGTACGTGTACATGGAGTCAAGCTGAACTAACTGAATAAAAATAGGATATCAGTGCTCAATACAAATAAACATCGTTCCTATAAATCATCTAGCTAAAATATGAATTACAAAGAAAAAACAAAGTCTGTAAAAATAAGCATAATTTGTGAAAAAAGGGATTTGCTCTGACAATCGTCATGTTTGCGTAATGTATGAGTCAATTCCAAAGGT